AAAAATTATTTTTTTATTTTGTACAAACAAAATAAATTTATTGAAAAATATAAAAACAATAAAAAATTATACGTCAGATGTTAATTTAGTATCAAAAACGTAAAATATTTGAGTAGCCCGAGAAATAGCCGAAGATTGCAGCGCCACAGCACTAGCGAAAATTTAAATTTGCCGACTGGAATGCTTTCGGATAACCAGCTTTCGGATAAACGACGCTCTACTGTATTTTCTTTCCACTCAAAAATAAAATATGAATAAAGGTTTACGGCTTTGTGAAACTTTTTTTTGAGTTTATGCCGTTGAAATAAATAAATAATAAAAAAATTAAAACATTTGTCGGTTTTGTTTACACGTTTATTGGGCCGCATGCGGCCCGCGGGTTGGACACCCCTGTCCTAGATCTTTCGGTTAAATGACATCATTAGGTATACTACAACAGATCCATATTCCGGTATACCTAATATGCCAAGATTTGTCGAGATATGTGAAAATCAAGTTTAGGACATTGTAAAAAAGAAAATTTCTGAATTCTACAATGCAGTAGTTGACCCAAAAACAGCTATTGGACTTCTTTATATTGACTATTGGAAGTTTTTAAAGAAGATGAACATGAAAGTAAAGTTAAAATTCATTTATTTAAAGGAAGGTACAAATAACTTGTAATTAGCATTCATAGGGACTTTGTGGCTTCTCTCTAATATTGACCATAGGACTTGTTAGATATTCAAAATATAAACTTTTGATAATTGATTCATCTACTTTTATATTTTCATTTTTTATTTCAATTCTGTTTAATTAACTTAATATATATATGTGAATAATTATGTAACACTTCATAGCTTGAAGAGCACTCCTGCATCTTTAAAGTCAGACTTCAAATTAAATATGAAGCCAACCCAAATCATTCGTATTGACAATACAAAGTAAGAAAAAATTTCTCAGCAAAAAATAAATTATCTAAATAATAATTATATTTTGTATATTATAGTTATGCTTCCCCACATGAATGTGATCACATAAAACGACCTACTGGAGGACCACATACGATTATTGATCCAGATATGAAAGGACAAAAGTTACCTGAAATTCGGTAAAACAGTTATCTTAATATTTAAAATAATGATCAATTATTTCTAAAACTAATGTCAAAAAATTATGTTTAGAGATGAATTAATTTATGCTGAAAAATACAGAGAAAAAGTACTTAAAATTTCACAAAAAACATCTTAAGATTGAAATTGTTTGAAAGTATAAAGAAAAATTAAATTAATGAACATACCAACAAAATTCAAATTTATCTTTTTAAAAATGGAAGAATTGAACACATTTATCTAATTTTGAATCATGGTTATCAAAGAAATCACAAAATTTAAAATAAAATATTTTTATTTTGTTCTTTCCAATTATTTTTAATGCATTAAACCATATAAAAATATGCAGACCTAATATAAAATATAATTTTGATTACATTGAATTGGATTAGATTTGATAGATGAAGGAAAACAACACTGGGCACTCTGCCAAGAGGGGTTTGCCTTCTGGGAGGACTTTCAATGGGAAAATGACCCATATTTAGGTGTTAGACAAGTGAAAAAAACCCAGGAAACTCTACGTATGCAGTCCATTGGTCGGATAGGAACCTGCAATCAGTATTCAGTGCTGTTATTCACTCATCACTGGTGGGCTGTTCTTTTTTATGGTAACTGAAAATTCACATCTAGCACAATTCAAATAAAAATCCAGTATCAAATATATTAAGCTAAAATATATATAATCATCCTCCCTTTAGCTCCAGTAGGCTAAATCGTTCCTTGGAATCACACGTTCTGAACAAAACGTTATCCAGGACTGTATTTCATTATATTCTAAATGGTAAAAATTCTAATTAATTGTAAAGTAAATCAAAAATCTCTAACAAAACTAAAACAATAAAATTCTATATAAAAAACATTGTGCCAAGTTTTACTTGGCATATGTAATATAGATAAAAATTTGCTTCCAAGTGCCAAGCTCAGCTTTTACCAAATAAAAATTCCTAAGGAAAATTTTAACTGTCGTTTAAATTATCAAAAGTTTTTACTTGACAAAATTTTTTTTACATCTCGGATGTCCTTATTTGGATATTAATTGTATTATTATATGACATAAGACGATGACATACAATTCGGTCAGTACTCAGTGACTGCTGACCGAACAAACGACATACAATTACTAGACCCCAAATCAGATAAAAATTAACTTAGAAACTAGGTGCCGCCATGAAATTCTAAAGCAAAAAGTGCATATGCTGTGGACAAATTGTTGCATGGTAGCTATTTCTGACATAATTGTGTGGCTTTCCTGTTATGCTCCTGTGACAATCCCTGCACACTCAAATCTAAATAAATAGCAATTAACTTCACAGCAATTCTATGGCAAGGTATAAAAAAAGGATCCTATATCATGTTTTACCGGCAGCAGTAACATGACCCTTATAGAAATTTCTATAAGGCATCCTATAGTTTCTTGATTTGTTCTAAGAAAATAACTTGCAATTTCAAGAGCTTATTGAATGTGTTATTCACATGCACTGCAATGAGTTGAAGACCTTGGATTCATGTGGTGAGGCTACGGTCTGAATGGTCCAATGGCCAATGTGGTTATGACGTCAGCCTACCTGTGGGAGGCCTGGAATTGAATGTGTTAAGGGAATTAATATGATTTACCAAACTAAGTCAGTGTTCCTAATCTTGGTTTCAATCATATTCAGTAATCACTCAGATTTCAGTGTTACAGTTTGCACCATACGAATGTATGAGTTAGTGTATTGACATGTATGATGATTGAAGTCTAAGAAGAATGATGTTTTCCCAGGTACAAACTGTTTCCCTTAAATTTAGTTATTTTGGCAGAAAAAATGGCGGTTTTTTGAAAGGGAAATTGGGCTTGTGGTGTTTTCTTTGACATGTTACCTCTATTTATTTCATTGGTTAATATGGAGTGTATAGCTATTCGCTCTTACTCCGAAAGACGAGAGATTGAATGTCAGACAACTGGAGAGCTGACCTTATAGAAGACGGCTGGAAGAAACACAAAGGGAGATAGAATGCCTTCCGGAAGGACTTTAGAGGAAGCTGGCCCCCACTTGGGTGTTATCTGCAAAGAGGAAACCCTGAAAAACTCCTGCTGTCAGCCTTGTCCGATCAAGGCGTGAACCCACAACCAAATGCCAGTGTTTAGGGTCTGGTCACCGCCACTATGAGCAAAGATGGAGTCCACTTGGCCACTGGTGGGCCGACATGTTACCTGCATATCTAGAAGAATATAAAACATCATGATGCTAGTTTAATAACAAAACTTTTAAATTTTTGAAGCTGATTTTCAAAAAACTGGTTGTTGTTATAATGTAATAATCAGGACACATTAGAGGATATATAATTTAAAGTCTTTTTAATTTTATTACTACAACAACATTTTTTGCATTTTTTAATCTCCACCATCTGCCCAATCTGTGTTCTTGTCCTATGCCTGCAACTAAATAGTCACCAGATGGCATAAATTTAATATCGTTAATAAATCCAACCTGAAATAGAAAATATTCAACAATTATTTTGAAGAACAGAATTTTATCTATACTTTAAAATTTAAGTTTATGGCCCTTAAAGAAACTGATCTATTAATTGTTAATGATCAAACTAACACATCAGTACAAATTAAATAAAACAAGAAAAAAATTTAATGACTAAAGGCTTCTTTAAGAACTATTAAATTTTGAACATTTTCATTATAAAATTTTAGTTTCTGACAGCAAAAAATGCTGAGATTAACATTAGAGATGGATGATGAATAATTTATCTTGAAACAGCACAATGGTAATACTGGTACATAAACACTTCATGTGGCTGTGATGTTGAAAAATCCTAACCAAAATATTGGAAAAATAAAGGTATATTAGTGTCTTAAGGCAGAACAGTCCTATTTCTTTTTGAAATATTTTATAAGACTATTTTAGACTCCACTATTACCAAGATCTAATATTTCTTAAGAATGTTAATGCCAAATTTTCACCATGCAGGACAGAAAAACTAGCACTATACAGATGGGCAACTAGGGAAATCTTGCAGTTACAATTGACATTTAATTTATGCTGTACTACTCTGGAATACCAGCTGAAAACAGATCATGAGATCATAGTGATACCATCATCACTAAGACTGGAATCTCAGTGTCTCCAATAATATCATTAGTTTTTAACTCAGCCATATTATAACTTTTTAAAATTTATAATAATCCTTTATCTAATGCTTTTCATCTAGTTTCAGATTACACAAATTAGGATTAAAACAATTTCCATTTCCTTGTATTACAAGTGTGTCTATATTCCTTATATTATTTTGAGTTTAATAACTTACTTATTTGTTCTAATTATAATAACAGTTATCTTGATATTACAAAAATTTTTATTATAATCTTACCAATGGTATTTCATGTAAAGGAGTTAAAACTTTATCTTCCCATTTCCATAACCTTAATTTTCCATCTTGTGAACCTAGAGAGATATTTTGATAAATATATTACTTAATAAAATAAATAAATATCAGGTATATTAATTGTTAGCATTTTTTTATCTTTATATGCTGTAACTTTTAAATTTTTTGATATGATTGCACAGATTGATTGATAAAGGTCTCAATGTAATGTATTGAAATTAATTTTGATTATATTAACTAAAATTCTTTTAGGCTTTTAATCATACATACACTGAATAAACAATTTTTTAATTTATGGAATATAATGAAATAAGCATTAACTATTAAATGATTGATAAAGAATGTGTATGCTATAAATTTTAATTAAATTTTATTGGATTATACTTTATGAATGTAATAATTACTAGATTGAGATTAGTTAATGACCATAAGAGTATTTATAATAAAAATTACCTGAAGCAGCAATATCAGTATTCTGCAAAGCAGTCAGTGAAGTAATCCAATTGGGCTCTCCATTTATTTCATTTACTCCATGAGCTTTAGAAATTACATTTAATGGCTTTTTCTTTTGTATACCCCAAACAGCAATAGAACTATAAAATAAAACATAATCAATACATCTAATATTTAGTAGAAAAAATAAATTAAAATAATTTTTTAACTAACCCATTGTCACTTCCTGAAAGAAAATGTTGATCATTTATCAAACAACATCTTTCTATTGAAGACCTAGAATGTATAATATTAACTATATCTTAATTTCAAATCATAATTTTGAAAAAAATATGCAATCATGACTTGTTATACCATAACTGCTGGTGAAAAAATTTAACTAATATCTCATTTATAAACAAAAGTATTTAATTATAATTAACTGTAATAAATACTATGTCTCACTGTAATATGGTTGTTGTTTATTCAATTTCTATATATAATGTCTCTTTAATTCAAAAAAACAAGTTTGGTAGACAAAAAGACATTATATATAGAAAAAGAAAAACTGTTAGCAGTTGTTTATTTTTATAAAATATATACTTCTTATTGTTTACTATTAACTTACCCATCTCCTTGGAAAACTAATTGTGATTCCTCTACAATTTTCCAANTTGAATTATATTTACAAAATTAATAAATTCGATTAAATGTAATGAAATTTTAGACTTTTAATAATATTATTCATACATAAAAATAAAATTAATCACGATAATGCTTATCTCATTTAAATACTTCTAACTTTATGGTACAGGAAGTGTAATATGATACATGTGTAGCATATGATGTTACAGAAATATTTTCAATTACTTTTTTTTTCTAATTAAAAATGTATCTTTTATACGTTTATTTTTATAAAATATATACTTCTTATTGTTTACTATTAACTTACCCATCTCCTTGGAAAACTAATTGTGATTCCTCTACAATTTTCCAAATTCTTAATGTGTTATCTCTCCCTCCAGATGTAAGTGCTCTTTCCTGCATTGTTGCATCAACTCCAGTTATAACATCTTGGTGACCAAATCTAATTAAGAAAAAACCCACACTTTCAATTAAATTCTTATACATACCTTTAATAAATAATAATTGTTTCATGATGTAGACATATTTTCAGTTAAAATATTTTATAAACATAATATCAATAGTAAATGACAATCTAAAAATAAAATAAACCTTTTATATGATAATCACTTTATTTTGCAAAAGCTTGTACTTAAGCCTAATGAATTGTTTTTTCTTTTTTTGATAGTAATCATGGCTACTGTATCGTTAAAAATTATTATTTTATTTTGCACAAACAAAATAAATATATTGAATATAAAAACAAAAAAAAATTATATTTCAAAAGTTTGTTTTAATATAAAAATTATGATGCATAGCAACATCTAGTATCAAAAACGTACCAATACTGTAATGGGATATATTGGGTTTAACCCTGTGGGTCAAAGGTCTCAACCTCAACATATGTCGGGAATAACATAGATGAGGTTAAAATATTTATAAGTTAAAATTCAGTCGAAATACTTGTCTCTTTCTTGAAAATTGGATAGTCCCAGTCTAACTCTAGTAACATTAACATTATTAGTATAAGGGAGATGGCAAAATTTATTTTAAAGGAAGTGAACTTTGTGTGTTTCTTTAATAACCTTATTTAGTAAAGAAGGAGATGCCATTGCCCAGATTGGTAAGCAATAGTCTATTAAGGATTGAAAGTTTGTAAAAAGTGTTGTAGAACAGTTTTTGATTATATGCGTTTATAAAAGCGCATAAGATTGCAGATTGCAATAGATTTTGCTGTTTTTTCTATATGATCTTTAAAAGTTAATTTACTGTCAAAAATGATTCCCAGATTACTAAATGAAGTTACATAATTTAGGATATGATTAGAGATCTGCCACTTCCACATTTTTATAACTATAATCAGAGAGAAACACGTCATGCAGTTTTACAAATATTGATTTTTAAATTTACTTTACTAAAAGCCAAAGAAAGAATTTTAAGGTCAGTTTATAAAATGTTTGGATTCTGATTTAGAAGTTTTATGTCATTGGCATAACCTATAACTTTAGAATTAATATTGTTGAAGAGATTGTTAATATATGCAGAGAAAATAGATTGCTCAAAATTGAACCTTGTGGAATGCCACTAATGGGAAAAATCTAGAAATTCAAAATTGTTTAGGTTTATCTTGCATAGTTTTGATAGAAAGTAGTTGTTTATCCAAGCTAATAAAACAGGGTTAATATCAAAATATTCATAGAGGACATGAAGAAGTATGTTAGTTAGAATGGAATCAAAAGGTTGTGAAATGTCAAGATAAATGATATAGATAGTTTTCTATTTTCTAAGATGGTGAAAAGTGTTTCAAGTAGGTTAGTGTTAATTGAATGACGGCAAATACCTCCGTGCTGAATAGGATATAATTTTAGAAGTTATTGGTGTATATATTTTCTGGGTATTTACTAGAAAATATATACACCAATAACATATTTCAAATAATTTTAGTATTGTTGGAGTTAGGGTAATAGGTCTGAAAGAGTTAGTATCTTTTTTGCTGATAACTTTTATAGAAGAAGAATGCCTTTGCTTTGGGATAAAATTATATTGGAGTAATCCGGAAAAGAGCTTGGACAATATGACGTGTGTAGAAGATTGTAATTTGGATAGAAAAATGGCAGGTATGTGATCCGGACTAAAATTAGGCAGTTTCAATTTGCCGATAGCATCTTTGACTTCTAGAAATGATAAACTGAAATGGTTGTTAAAATTATTATATGAAAGAGAAGAAAATTCAGCTTCAGGTAAAACATGAAAAAATCTAGCTTTAATATTAACATATACCTGATGTCATATATCATGTCATCAGGTATATGTTGTGTTTTCTTGGGTATTTTACAGGAGAACTTGGAAAGAATTCCCAAAAGGTATGGGGGTTCAGAGGCAAAATTAGAATTGACATTTGTAAAGTAATTTTCAAAGGAAACTTGGCATTCTTTCTAAAATTGTTTTTGAAGTATATGGTGTAAATAAAGGTCACGAGGGTTTCCACCTGGCCCATTGTTTTCTGGCTGCATTTCTCAACTTTTTTAAGTGATTAGTAAACCAATTATGAGGGGAAATATCAATTGAATGATATTGAAGGAATTTATGTATGATGGAATAAAAAATGTCATATATCTGATCTGTAATGGCTTGTATGATAATGACAGCCATATAGTCAGACTGGAAACCTTGTGCAGGGCTGGGAGTAAGATTACAATTCAAAGTAAAAGCTAAATCTAAAAAAGTTCACTAATCAAAATACGCATAATGTTTTTGTGAACATATAAATTTGGAGTTAAAAAAAACTTTTTAAGTGAAAAGGACAAATTCATATTATCAAGCTGTAAGAAACAAAGTTGATTTAAAAATCAGCTTCTTTTCCATAAACTTCTTTTTTGTATTATTATTTGCTTAATTATGATTGTGTTTATTGAGGATTTTTGGCAAAATACCAAATAATTATTCAGATGTTACTGCTGCTGAATATTAAATATTCTTGCTTTTTCTGACGATTAAATATTGAATATTGAATATCAGTTGATTTAATGTATTTGGAACTGCCTGAAACAAAAGGCTTAGTACATATATTTCAATAGCACTCCTTTAAAAACTGATTGCTTAAATTTAAAAATTTAATTTCAGCATTTTATTTTATAAATAAGAAAATAATTGTTCAAAAGTATCTTAAAGTACTTGATTTATTAATATAAAAGTAAATAATAATGGGTCTGATACAATGAAACTAATTTTTCAACAGCAATATTAGTAAGTAGCATTCTTAAATTACCTTGTTTTGTCTTATTTGCAATCATGATAACACAAGAAACCCTTACTACTTTAAATAGTATGTTGCCAAATTCTTTCAAATACTGTGTGAAGAAGCAATTGACAATATTTTCACAAAACTTTTGAATAAAATTATGATGAAAGTTTTGTGTATATTGTATGCTTTAGTATAATTGTTACCGCTAAAGCTCGAAATCCGTTAATGTGTACATTACCTAGCTAATCTGCAGATTAACTAGGGTGATCCGTTAAAGCTGCAAAAATTATTCAATTTCTCAAATTACCTAGGTAATTTGCAGAGTATCTAGGTAATCTGCACATTAACGGCTTCCGTATCGTTAAAGTTCAAAAGTTTGTTTCTTTCACTTCCTTTCCCCACTCCTTCTTTTTACGTAGATAAATTTAAATCCTAGAATGCAAGCAAGCACCGAATTGGTGAGTAAAATCAAGAAAAGATTCTTCGCAAACCTCTTTAGCGAAGATTTAAAATATAATACGTAGTGTTTTAATAACAAACCAAAGTATGATTCCATAATTGAAGATGTAAAGCAAATAAAAGTTTCCAAGAAGAAAGAATCATCTCGAGATTATCAAATAATTCAAAGGTGTGATGTGTTGACTGTACGAGGCTGTGAAAAACTCATTGAGCCGTTGTCAGATGCGCGAGAAAGGTTTGAAAAAGTTTGTCCATGCCGGAGAATTGTTTGACATTCGATAAAAACTGAAGAAGACCTTGAAAAATTAGAAGATTCACAAGAGACTGTGATTATGAGATCACAGTCAAATCTTACTCAAGAGGACATTCCGTTATCCCCCGCTTCTACAGAATCACCTATAGAAATACAAGAATTTACCGATAGTAATCTTAAACTGCCTTCTATACCGTTGATTGATGATGCAGTCACGAAGAATATTCAGTTACCCTGCACCTCCAAGGAATCGCCTCTGCAAGTTGAAGAAGTCATCACTGAGTTACTCTCAACTTCAGCAGAATCGCCATCACAGTTTCGTACGGAGCCTGTAAAGAGCACTATACAAGACATAGTCTGTATTGTTTGCTCAAAAGCAGCATCAAGTGCTCACAAGTGTAAATCGTGTAATATGTTTGTTCACGCAGTTTGTGGTGAAGTAGATCCTAAAGAGGAAGGGTATGGTAAGAATGTATTGTGCATCATCTGTAAAAAGAATATGGATCAGAAAATACAGCGTGATGAAGCCAAGAAATGTTTAGAAAAGCAAGCAAAGAAAATGTTAGCAGTTTCTAATGCAAAGCACCCAAACGTCGATGAAGGTTTCGCTGTGAGAATTAAAGTACCCGAAGAAGACAGAGCAAAAACTGATGCACGTTCAATTTTAGCTGTGGTTCTTAGTAAAACAGAGGATGGCTTTTATAAACTTGATACTAAAACAGGTATTTTAAAACAATTGTATGCAAAATCTGAATTCAGTGTTTGCAAAGAGAGATTTTTAACGAAAGAAGATGGATGTCCCTGCTGTAGAAATATCTTTACGTCAAACAGCAATAAAACAATCCCTTGGTACTGGGCAGGGTTTCAGAAAATGTGACTGCAAATCTAAATGTACCACAAATAGGCGTGCTTGTCGCAAAAACCAATTGCTACGTAATTCAAAGTGTCACCAATCTTTAGATTGCACTAATAAGTAAGTACAATTTTATCATATGTTTTGCAAATTCATTTCCCTAATTGTAGTAATATTTTAAACCGTTTGATTTTTGTATTAAAGTTTTTTTAATTGATTGATGATTGATTCAATCAACTAATTTGTTGATTGTATTAACTTGATTCTTTAGATATTGAAAATTAAATAAATAACATTATGTTAATTTAAGCGTACAGAAACGTTGCTGTTGTTCCAGCAAAAATCTTATTTTCACTTTACCGAGTGCCTAGTAGGTAATTTGCAGATTACCTAGATAATCTGAACATTACCTAGGTAATTTGAGAAATGGAATAATTTTCGCAGCTTTAACGGATCACCCTAGTTAATCTGCAGATTAGCTAGGTAATGCGCACATTAACGGATTTCGAGCTTTAGCGGTAACATATATATAAATTGGGATATCTTCACGTCTATTATTTACGCAAATTATTCCAACTAGAAAGAACTATTCCAGGCTATGCTCTACGGCACGAAGTAAATCGGATTTGGTTCTTCCCTTTCGTATTGAAACGCATAATAAAATTTTATTACAGAATTAAATTTAAAAAACGATAACACTATAATATATCTACATCAACAAAATATTAATCAAAGTAAAAATCGGAAATTTAAACAACTATGGCGAAACAAGCTAAATCAAATTCTAAATACTTTTGGCGCATCGGAGTTATTATTTAAAGATAATATTAATGATTGGAAATTCGGCCTTTCACTTTTAATGAACTCTGCAATTTCGCAAGCAATAAACAAAGATCAAAATTCATTATATCAAAGTATTTATCATCCATGGTATATCGATTTATTACAAATTCCGCCCTTACAATCTTATATGTCACAGCCAGTTAGTCTAAATGTTAAGCGATTAATAATTCAACTCTGTTTAAATAAATATTCTTTTGTTATTAATAATATTTATATTGACCTAACAAGATCCTATTGCCCTTTATGTAATTCTGAAGAATTCTCACGATATCATCTAATTCATAATTGTCAAGAACTATCTAGACTGCGCGACTATTATAAAATATCTAAAATATGTAATTCTAATTCACCACTCGACTTCAAACTAAGTTTAAGTAATCTCAGCAAAACGAACTTATACAAAATTTATAATTATTTTGTTAAAATATCTGTAAAATACCATTCGGCAAATCAAAACTAATGTTCGTTTTTGTATTCGTTGCCTTGTTAATATAGATGGATTATTATGTATGTAATCACAAATCGATGTCTATGGTAATTATGACTTATTTTTGTATCTTTGTACCCTAAATTTGCTAAATTGTAATCGTTTTTAATCATTTGTACTATTCCCCCGTAACAGAGAAATTGTTCTCTATTTGTTAATACCGATTTGTATTGCATTATATTGTAATACAGTAGAGCGTCGTTCATCCGAATCAATTGGGGTTGTTCGGATAACCGATTATGTGCAAAAAATACATTAACCTAACCCATGTTGAAATTTTTCTCTGCTGCGTATCGCTTCGCGTTGGATTTTCGTCGATGTTAAACCTAATGTAAACTTTTTAAAATAATAATCGTGGCTATTGTATTGTTAAAAATTATTTCTTTATTTTTTACAAACAAAATAAATATATTGAAAATATATAAAAACAAAAACAAATTATACTTTAGAAGTTAATCTAGTATCAAAAATGTTCAATTCAGCACCACACAGTCATCAGAAAAACACCACACAAAAGTGCCAGTGCTGCCAGCTAAAACACACATATTAACAAAAAAAATATTGGAGTAGTCAAAGATTGCAGCGCCACAGCACTAGCGAAAATTTAAATTTGCTGACTGGAAATCTTTCAGATAAACGACGCTCTACTGTACTTTCATTTCTGTTTGTTCAATGAATAGTAAAATAGAAAAAGAAACTGTATGCATTTACTTAGCATACAAGTACAATGCTACATTTGTATATTATTATTGTGTTGGGTTTGGTGGGTTATATCTTGTTGACACTGGTTGCTATGTACTATGCTGGACCAGTCAAGGCATACAACCAAAACAAACAAAAAAAAAAATAAAATGTGTCAGTGTGTGTGTGTATTCAGGAATATTCTAACAATATGACTTGTATTCAATATAGTGGCCTTTTGTAGTGTGATGTGTGTTCCTGTTTAACTGTAATGTTTCCAGGCTTTTGTGTAGTGTGTGTGGTATGACACTTGTAGAGGAGAGAACAACAGGCACAATAAGCACCCTATCTATCCCCCACAGATGCCTTATTTCCTGGATAAGTTCTGTGTACTTGCAATGAAAAAGGTTCGCCATCCCTGACTTAGGCAATCTGCTTAGGAGAATGCCTTCCAGGAGGTTTTTTAAAGGGTAACTGGTTCCTATTCAGGCGTTATAGTTATGGAGAAAACCTGGAAAAACTCCACATGGCCAGCTTGTCCTGACAAGGTGCAAACCCATGGCCAAACTCCCAGTACTCAGAGAATTGAACTGCTTGGCCACTGATGGGCCTTTTCCCCACAGATATCACTGGCATAAATGACCTTACCAGGAGCAGATGCTCCAGCTGGTATAGCTCTGTGGTTCATTAGAATTACTGAGCTCTCTCACCATAGCAAAGATGGTGACTGGTAAGAAAGTTATTATTACTGATACAATATATTCTGAATGTTGCATATTTTTTAACATCGACAAAAATTCAACATGGTGACCACAGGCAACAGAGAAGAATTTCAACATGGGATAGGTTAGGTTAGGTGTCAAACAATTTCTGGCTCATATTGAAAGTTCTTCTCAAATAACTAGATCTCAGTCATGTTTATCATTAAGTCACAGATCCTTTTTTTTTTAATTGAACCATCAATCATATGTTATCCATCGAACATCACCTTCATCATAACTTCATAAAATATAAACATCTTTGTCAATGCTTTTTATATAATGTATGATTCTTAACTGCTCTTTTCATGTGTATATTTCTTTTTAAAATATTTTAATCTGTTTTTCTTTTTTGTTATTCTTGATTGTATCTTGGGGTATATTATGTTATTTGGAGGATGGAAATCTTTTGTCAACTGGCAGTTCCAATAATATGTAAAATAAAATAAATAAAAACTGTTGAAAATCCAGATGCCAAAAGTCTCAATTCAGTCACCGAAAAATGGATACTAATTTACATGTATATTTGAAAATCTGGGTTTGGTCTGGACCCAATCAGCCCAGATTTTCAACACTTCACTGTACCTGAATTATATATTCAATTTTAAACAAGGGTAAATAGATTATTATATACTATAAAAAATGCTTTATATACCTAAAATTTTTGCACTCACAATGTTTCTATATAAGTCATTTCATCTAAATTCCAAAGTTTCACAGACCTATCAAATGAAGTGCTAATTAATTGATGAGTTCCTTTTTGAAAAACAAGACCCTGAAAAATATAATGTTATGTAACAAAAAGTAATAAATTAAGCATTAAAGAAAAAAAAACAAAGAATTAACATACCGAGATAGCATCTTTGTGTCCTTTAAATGTGTGAAGTTTCTCCATTGTTTCAACATTCCAAATATGAATTAAATTATTTCTGCCTCCTGAAGCCTACAAAATTTATAAAGTTTAATAATAATTATAATTAAATAAATAAATTATTTAATGTCATATAATTATTCAATTTCCTCATCAAACTATATCTAGAAATAAACATTCCTAAATTTCAAAAATTTTTTTGATTAATGCTACATAGACAATTAAGTGCCATTTACCTAAATTCCAGTTACCAAATTATGTGTTACTCATTTGAAGTCAATACATAATTTATAACATTTTACAGTCAAAGCAGATTTTATTAGTTAAGAAGTCAACATAATACTATGGTAAAAAAACATTTTTTACCATAGTTCTTGAGGTTTCTCAATTTTGATATCAGATCATTCAAAATCCATTTGAACACTTAAAAAAGATGTTTAAATTACCTGGAATTAAGCTTTAGAATATTTAATGTTAATTTTTTGGAATAATTTATATAACTGAGGAAGTGAGGCCTAAAAGCACTTGGATTGTAAATATTTAAATACTGAACTATTAACAACTTAAAATTTAAAAATTTTTTGCAGATTTCTGAAAATACATTAATAAAACCAAATTTGCATATAAATCATATAAATATCATAATGTTGATGTATAAATGACCAAAGTGATTAAAGGCTTCAGCCTACTGCTCTGGGAACCCAGAATCAAATCTGGGCAGCCACAGAAATTTTTCAGGGTGTGGTCTATCCCTTACCACCCAGCCTTATTTGTGGACCTGATGGGCATGGAAAAAGACTTTGTAGTGCCCACAGGATGGAAAGAACAAAATAAATAAAATTATAACATTTAACATTGGAAAAATAATTTGTTTTCAACATAATTATAGGTTATAGAGATAATTAGTGTAATTAAATATAAACCAGATTTTAATGTAATTTTTTGAATAAAAATAAAATAAATCAACAAGCAAAAATTATTGTGACATCATCACAATGCTGGGCTTCAATTTTTAATTATATTCTTAATTTAAAATATATCTTATGATCTCGATCTCAAATTAGTAGTGTCTTGCCCCTGTACATAAAATACAGTTCATATTATATTTATTTACATAATATGAACTTTTCATACTGAAATAATTAAAAAATTATTTTAAAAATAAATTTTCTATTTTAGAGAAAATGATTTGCATTGGAATACATACCAAATATTTACTATCTGAAGAGACAGCAAGACAAAGAACATGATCAGTATGTCCTACATGTTGTTCTTCTGTTCCTTTTCTTCCTCCATGAATTGTCTTTAAACGCTTTCCTGTTTGAAGACACCCTACAGTAGAAATAGTTATATATAATTTATGTGAAATATTTTATTCATAAATTAACAGACACTGCAATAACCTAATAAACCAGCAACAAAATTATAAACAAAGTGTGAATATTTTCACCAGTGTTAAACAGGCATCTTCAGGCAACAAACTGTTGAGAAAACACTGGGGATTGATGAACACATGTGTAGGGGGAAGGTGCTTATGATGTAAAAAGAGGGAGAGGCAAAAGAGAGTTTATATTTCATAGAAATACCTGCACGTCAATGTCATGATAGTTTATGGGCGAGTTATGGCAGGTGGCCCTGTAAATTTCCACTTGTTCTAGATGTTTAAGGACATGTGGTTTAGATTCATTATATAAGAGGTGCATCTCGTGGAATGTTTTTGCCCATGTTAAACAGGAGAAAACATTCACACTTTGTTTATAATTTTGTTGCTGGTTTGTTAGGTTATTGCAGAGTTTATTAATTTCTAGTTTTAATGAATTGTAAAGTAGCAGTTTTTAAATTATATACATACAGTGAACAAAAAAAAATTCATCAATTAACTGACATTATGTGCACTAAATTAAAAATATATTTCAAAATCAATCTTATAACATTTTCAATAACAATCCTCATTCTTCATCCTTTGCCTTATGTTGGCAGGTCCTATTTGTGAGTTAGGCCTATTTATAAACAGATGACAGATATCAAAATGATGTCTATTTATAAATATGTTTGTTTTGATTGGCTGTATAGCCCATTAAGGCTATACAGCCAATCTGGAATCTTATGTTAGATAATCAATTGAATAATAGTAACAACAAACTTCATTTCAATAAATATTGAAAAAGGCAAATCATAATATATATATAATAGGAAAAATTGGACTTCACTCATAATAAGTTTAATGACATTTGTATCAATCTAATAAGCTACAAATTTCTTTTGATTTCTAAATATGTCGGAATACTTAAAACAATCTCATCACCTGAGCTTACTCTAATAAAAAAAAAAAACATTATTTTAACTTTACTTAAACTACATTAACATACCTTAATATATAATTTCTTGCAAGGATAAAGATAACACAAAGATAATATTTATTAGTCTTACAAGATAACATTACACAAAAGTTAATCATTTATTCAATCAAATTTTCTTTCATGCTTATAATTTATAAAAAGAATCCCCAATTCAACAAAAATAATCTGATGTTCTTTTTAATTTTCTTTGAAGTCTTCAAAGAAAAATTTTTAATTTACATTTTTTACTGCATTCTGTATTTTTTTTTGTTTGTTATTGTGATTTTACATAGAACAAAGGAATTTAAAAATGTATAATATAAACAACATGCATAAAAATATACAAAAGTTGATACTGTGGTGTAAAATATGATAGATTAAAATTTTTTAGTTGCATGAATCATACATTTTTTTCAGAAACATTTTCAAATTACATGTAAATTGAATATTGTAAAACAAAATTAAGAATTATGTCATTTAATTTAATTAGTTCAAAAAGACATTATGTTTTATACATTTATGAAATTTTCATGAATTTTTCCAGTGTTATGTTTTCTTATATGGACATATGAGCACCACTACAATTTAAATGATAAGCTCTTAAAAGAATTACTAAATAATTTTACAATTATAAAATTTTATATTATAACTATGAATAATCAATAGTAAAAGCTTTATAATGACATACATTTTATTATAGAGCAATCTTTAGAACCACTAAAAATATATTTCTGATTTGATGTTACTGCTAAACAAGTCACAGGTAGTTTATGTCCTTTCATGATATGGATAATTTCAGATTCAGTGAAGTCATACTTTAAATAAAATAAATGGATGAGTTAATTATCATTTTAATAAATCAGTAGTAGTAAAAACTAATCATAAAGTCTATACTTTGTCTGCAATCTTCTCTTGTAATCGTCCTGCCTGTTTCAACTATAAAATAAGTTTTTACTTAGAATAGGTATATATTTATATATAATTTTAATTTTAAAAATCAAAGTGTTAAATAAATATATATATTTACTATTACGTTAAGACAGAATGAAATGAAAATTATTAATTCATATTTACCACATCCTTCCTTAACCGATGTGAGACAATATCTTCATCAATATCATCTTTATCTGCTTTTGCTGCTTCTGAACATTACAAATATTTGTAAATTAATAATTTTGATAAATTTAATTGTTTCAATAATAAGAGGTAAGTAATATTTAGTTGTTATTTTTATGTTTATCTCCTTGTAAAGTATGATTGAGATTCATATTAATAAAGTTTTATTGATTATTAAAACAATAAAAAAAAGTAATAAAAATAAAAGGTGTTATAACTCAAAGTTGACAAACAATATACAAGGTCTGTTCAAAAAATAACCAAACTTTATTTTTTTTTATTTTTATTCTACAAGTTACAAATTACTGATCCTTGTCACCTTGAACTTATTCCCCTCCCCTATTCACACAGTCATCCCAGCAGTGTTTCTACATTGCAAAACAGTCCTGGTAAGCTTGTTTCAGACTGTCCTTCAATGCTTTTGATGAATTTGTTAACGTTGTCAATTGTGTCAAAATGGCATCCTTTCAGCACTGATTTTAATTTTGGAAATAAGAAATTATTGTAAGGAGCCAGTTCTGGTGAGTAGGGATGCTGGAGACAATAGTCATTTGATTTTTGGCATAAAACTGGCAAATTGACAAAGCTGAGTGAGCAGGTGTGTTGTCATGGTGAAGAAACCATGAGTTGTCTCACCACAACTTTGCTGTCTTTTTGCAAATTTTTTCATACAGTTGTTTAAAAACACCTGTGTAGTACTGATGTCTGACTGTTTGATCTTGAGGCAAAAATTCAAAATGCACAACTCTGATTTTCTGAACGTGAGTGTTATCAGTTGAGGTTGAAGGTTTTCCTGGATAAGGGTCATCTTCAACTAATTGACAACCACTTTTGAATCAGGTAAACCATTTGTAACACTGCGTACGACATAGAGCATCACCTTCATAAGCTTGATTCAAAAGTTGAAATGTTTCCATAACAGCTTTCCCCAGTTTCACGCCAAACTTCATGTTGCATCATTGTTTCCATAAATCACACATTACAAAAATTGCCACAAACACTGAAACACCTTTCACTCAAAAACAATAATGCAGGAATGTAACGAGATATCAACAATCCGAAAAAAGCAGCTTACTAAGTAGGTTATTGCAAAAATAGTGCTTTCAACTTCACAACACTAGGACACTCTGTTTTTGCCCAATTCAAAAAGTTAAGTTATTTTTTTAACAGATCTTATATATCAAGAGTAATCAAAATCAATAATATTGCAAAATTAATCCAAATACTTCTTTATAAACTAGTTTAAGAAAAATAAATTTTTCTTTATTTCTAAGCTCTTCCTATTTNGAATTGGTTAAAATTTTTAAATTAAAAAATCTTTACTTTGCCATATTCTATATATTTTTTTTTATTTTTTATATATTATTACTGAGCTTAAAGTTTTATGAGCAACTATAAACTTTTCTAATTTCATAATGAATTGATTAATTTCTCCAATAGTTAGTAAGTTTAGTTTGCCTGATTCATATGATGTTTACTTGTATATACAAAGAGGAGCACTTTTTGTGATCTACATATACATTTTTGTATGTCTCTAAAAATTACTATTGAAATAAAAAAGCATTGGAAGACAAGGGAAAAAAGTGACTTATAGTTTGTTTGAAGTTCAGTAGTAAAATTTTTTTAAGTTGTCATCTGTTTTCAAAGGGGTTGTAGCAGCCATTTCTATTCTGTTCAGAAAAGCTGGAAGCATTTGACAATCAACAAAGTCATTTACTTTCTATAAAAAAAGAACTCAAGGTGACTTATTTCATTGCATTGAAATGATGCAAACTATAACATCATGGATTAGACAAAGAACCTCAGAATCCTTCATTGATAGCATGTATAAAATTGCTTTATATTGGAGAAAATAAATTGAACTACAAGGAAATTATGTAGAGAAATACAATAGATATACTGATCTGTAGCTAAAATGTTGTACAGTAGAGCGTCGTTTATCCGAATCAATTGGGGACTGGGGTTGTTCGGATAACTGATTATGTACGAAAAAATATATTAACATATCCCATGTTGAAATATTTCTCCGTTGCGTGTTACTTCGTGTTGAATTTTCGTCAATGTTAAGCCTAATGTAAACTTTTTAAAATAATAATCGTGGCTATTGTATCATTAAAAATTATTTCTTTATTTTTTACAAACAAAATAAATATATTGAAAATATATAAAAACAAAAACAAATTATACTTTAGAAGTTAATCTAGTATCAAAAATGTTCAATTCAGCACCACACAGTCATCAGAAAAACACCACACAAAAGTGCCAGTGCTGCCAGCTAAAACACACATATTAACAAAAAAAATATTGGAGTAGTCAAAGATTGCAGCGCCACAGCACTAGCGAAAATTTAAATTTGCTGACTGGAAATCTTTCAGATAAACGACGCTCTACTGTACTTTCATTTCTGTTTGTTCAATGAATAGTAAAATAGAAAAAGAAACTGTATGCATTTACTTAGCATACAAGTACAATGCTACATTTGTATATTATTATTGTGTTGGGTTTGGTGGGTTATATCTTGTTGACACTGGTTGCTATGTACTATGCTGGACCAGTCAAGGCATACAACCAAAACAAACAAAAAAAAAATAAAATGTGTCAGTGTGTGTGTGTATTCAGGAATTACTAACAATATGACATGTATTCAATATAGTGGCTTTGAGGTGAGG